CGTCGAGGAAGGAAAATAAGGAAAAAGAAGAAAAAAGGAAGAAGGAAGAAGGAAGAAGAAGAAAAATAAGAAGAGGAAGAAGAAGAAAAAAAGAGAGGAGAAGGAGAAGAAATAGAGGAGAAGAAGAAACCAGATATTCTATTTTTTTTTCTTCTCCTCTACTCCTTTCTTCTTCTCCTCTTTTTTTTCTTCTTTTTTTCTTCGACATGAGGGGGGTCGATAAATAATAAAACTAGTTAAACTAGTTTATTTTTAGGAAGTGCTTAGTAGTTGAACTAGTTGATTTAATAAAACTACTTTATTTTATTATAGAAGTAGTTTATTTCTAGTAAGTACTATTTTATTTTATTTATAGTAAGTGCTTAGTAGTAGAACTAGTTGATTTAATAAAACTACTTTATTTTACTATATATAGAAGTAGTTTATCTTTAGTAAGTACTACTTTATTTTATTTATAGTAAGTGCTTAGTAGTTGAACTAGTTGATTTAATAAAACTACTTTATTTTACTATGTAAGTAGTTTATTTTTAGCTAGAAATTAATAGAACTAGTTTAGTTTTTTAGTTGAAGCAATTATTCCCGCATCGACGTCGATGATGCCTATCCCGCATCCTCGTCATCGACTCGGCGGGGGAGGCCTGCTTGATCAGAGGGGCCATGTCCGAGACTGGGCTCCGTCGGACTGGTATTGGGAGGTGCTACCTTCCGCGGGGCGTAGGTTGGTGAGGAGCTAGCCCGTTGTTGACCCGAACCTTGTTTGGTGGCGGTCGCGTGGGCTAGTGACGGTGCCGAGGCTTCCGGACACCACGGAGGTGGTACGTCACCGTGTCAGCGAGGAGGATGAGCACGTCCGTCGCTACATGGTTGCGTTGGAGGGCAGGTTCGACAATACCTGGCAGGTTCTTCAGGGATCTCACTGGAGCTATGATCTTGTGATGGTTCCTTCTCTTTGGGTGTCCACCACCCGCACCGATACCCGTCGGGCGCTATGGTTCTAGCTAGCTGTATTAGCAATGCTATATGTATGATACTGTTCGAGGTGTATTAGTGATAATATTCGATGATGTACGGACGCAAGAGATGATGTAGTTTTGCTTATAATTGAATGCATGCTAATTTGAATACTACTTTATTTTACGATTTGGTTTTGCTTATTGAATGCTCAGATTGGAAAACTACTCGTACTTTGAATGCTAAAATTGGAGAGCACTATGCAAGACGTATGCATTTGATTAGTTGATAGCTTATAGGGTTTGTTAGTATATATATTTAATTGTACAAGTTTAATATTTGAATTATGAACATAGGAAATGTCGTACTCGGACGACGAAAGTCTCCCGGGGGAGTGCGACTGGTGCCACGACGACCGAGGTCTATGCGACGGGCCTCACCTGGACAAAGATCGGCGCTTCAGCATTAAGCTCGAGGACACCTTCAATGTTGAACGCAACGACGACAAGTGTGTTTTTTCGTAATTAAGCATGACCTCAAGTATTTCAACGTGTAATTTTCATCTTTTACAATTTGGGTAGCTTATCTCATGCCATGCAAAATGATATGTCTTGGAGAGTATGGGTTTTGAAGACCATGAAAATTCCGAAACAAAAAAATTCACCTACGGACCCATCATGGTGTGGATTTTGAAGTAAATCTGTATAATTCTGAGAGCGTAACCCATTTTGTTTGCAAAAATTGGTAAGAACTTTGCAAGATGTATGGTTTTTATGAGGGTATGCTTGTCACCATGGATCTTGGTGATCCTAACATCGACCAAGACAATATGGACATTTGGGTCCTTATTGATACACTTCCAATTCTACCGCTATGTGAGTTTCTCAAACATAATTATTAACTAATTTTTATTTTTCATTTCAAAATAGTTGACATCTTATTTCCATTGACAACTTATTTTCATTGTTCAAACAATGTGCGGAATATGGTAGACAGAACCTACTACACCGGTGGCTCTGAGTTAACTTATCAGGAGAAAAATCAGCTGGTCGCATTTTGTACCGATCTTGAGAATTACAATATCTATAATAAAACTCCTCCACATTACGGTCAATACCTGCCACTAGTGCACGTGTTGAACTACGGTAACATCCATGGATATGCCATGGTAAGTTTTTTACTATTACGATGCATCTTTTGCATAAATTCTTTTAAAACTTAACTACATTGCTAACTATGAAGTTATTACTATGTTTTTCAACAGAAAATCCTGGATGATTGTGTGCCTCATCTGATGTATCAGAATGGTCGCCTTGATGTTTTGAACATGCAGCCAGGTCATCCTACGAATCTCACTTGTCCATATCGGATTTTTAAAAGAAGTGGAGACATGAAAATCACAGAATGAAAAAAAATGTATGGACAGTCGTAAGGAGGTTCTTGGAAGCAAAAGGAAGCGAAGCGCAAGAATTAGAGACAGGATGATCTCCATTCTCCATAATGCAGAGTCATGGCCTATATTGTTTTATGCTATTTTACCTTAAAGAGGGTATTTAAGTCCTACCTTGTGCTGATGATCATGCGCTAAGAACAATTAAGTAGGGTTGGTTCGATGACTATGAGGATGATGATCGTATGACTTGTTATTAATAACGAGTAGAAGTTGTATGATGATGATTATTAGTAGGACTTGTTATTATGATGATGCATGATGCGAGCATGAAGAGTTATTATATATCAATGGGTGACATGAACATGGATTGGATTGAAGTGAAGGCAACATGCATGTGGTGCATGCTCAAAGTAGTAATAATCCAAACTTGATCAAGTTAGGATTAGTATTACTTTGGACATGCACCACATATATGCTGCCTTCATTCAATCTAAGCCATGTTTAGGCATAGCAGTAGCGTTGGTAAACCAAGCATGGAGATAAGAGATGACACTTCTCTCTATTAGCTAGCTAACACCCTAAATTAACCCTCAAAACCCCCTAAACCACCCTTTTTAAAAAAACAAAAACCTCAGCTGCTGACGCGTGAATGCCTTTTGGTCCCGGTTGGTGCCACCAACCGGGACCAAAGGCCCTCCTGCCTGGGCTCGCCGCAGCGGCCACGTGGAGGCCCATCTGGTCCCGGTTGGTGTAAGAACCGGGACTAAAGGTGTAGGGCTTTAGTAACGATCCTTTAGTCCCGGTTCCCCAATCGGGACAAATGGGTCTTACGAACCAGGACAAATGGCCGTTTTTTACTATGTTTAAGAGAGAATGTGAGACCTAAATTTGACCTGAAGAGAGGTCGAACCCAGGTTAGTGGGTCGAAACCACCGCGCTCCCACCACTGAGTTATGAGCTCATCCAGAGATACAGGCACAATATATTTATCCCCTTGCTTGTATAGAAAATGTAAATTTCACCTCGAATCATAAACTGTTTCTTTTCCGTAAAAGATAGTTGGTTTTAACTTTCAAGAAAAGAATGAATCTTTGATTTCCGTAGTACTTCCTAGTTGTGTTTTTACATGTAGTTCGCTACATTTGAACCATTCGGTGTATTTAAATTTGAATAATTCGTTTTGTAAACTTTGAATACAGTTTGTAAACTATATGAGACAGGACTTTCAACACCCGAATGGCCCTACACCCTCTATGAAATGTAAATTCAAAAAAAAATGAAACTTTGAAACATCAAACACAATAAAGCATTCGACGTACCAGCAAAGTTTCAGCTTCAAATAACATTCAAGGAGCCCTCACCTAAAAAAACAAAATCAGTGTTCAAAGTCTTTGTGCACTTTTGAGCAGTATTTTTTTAGGGAACCTCGATTGTTATCTGTGGCTGAAAATTTACAAGAACTTCAAAAGTTTGATCATATATTTTTTTATTTTTTTTCAATTTTTTAATTTACTGTTCATGAGGGTGTAGGGGCACCAGGGAGCTCTCAAAACTTTCTCAAACTATATTCGTGATTTGCTAGAACCTTCATAATTATGTTTAGTTTCTATATGTGTGCAGTTTATATGTAGTTGTAATGTGAACTAGAATGCATAAGTTAAAAAACGAAATTATACTCCGTTATATTTAAGCGATCGGCTAGGTCTGGCCAAAAGTTTGCGGAGTAAATATACTTCAGTAAACTTTACTCGACCGGAAATTTCTCTATTTGATTGGGGATCGGCTAGAGTTGACCTAAAGTTCTAAGAAAAAACACTAGTCTAAACTTTGGTAGAACTTTCCTGGTGCCCACTTTCAGTAGCCTTACGTTACCACCACCCCACCACTTTTTTCCTTCATGTGATATCCGCCCCTCCCCCATTACATCACATGCCTATCTCCGCTCCGCTCCGCTCCGCTCCGCTCCGCTCCGCTGCACTAGTCACACTCCCACCCCTCTCTAAAGGCTCAAGTACTCTACCCACTTGCCACAACCATTACCACGCCTGGCACAATTGTCGCCAGATGAGACCATGGTTTTGGGAACCGCCCGATAAAAACGGATACCGGGCGGTTACCGTGTTTCTCGGCGCCCCACGAGAAATACCTATCCCGAGCAAAAAATACCGATATTTTTGAATAATTTAAATTTGAACGCTCAAGGTCTGATAAATAAGCTTTGTTTCTCATTTTAAATAGTGCCCTTACTATGGCGTAGTGGTAACCATCTGTTACACCCCTCGAGGGGTAGCTGGTTCGAGTCCTCCGTCCGCTCTTTAGTTTGCTAACTAGCCCACGTAGTTGAGGTACTACTGAGCTACTACGCCTTTTGTGATTGGCATCAGTTCAAGATATTATTATATTGAATTTACAATTGTTTGAATTCAAAATTCAATTGTAAATTTCGTCCAAAATTTGTTCGGTATTTCTCGGTAACCCGTCCGAAATTTGTTCGGTATTTCTCGGTAACCGTGGTTACCGGGAATATCGCCCACCCACGAGAAAATTTGCCTATTTGGGATCCAAAACCTTGGAAGAGACAAGGATTGCTAGCAAGAGAGCAAGGAGGTGTCAATGGCGGACGAGCAGTACTACGCTGGCCCGCGTGGGGCGCCACATGGGCTGGCTGGCGGTGGTGGTGGGGCTGCTGGTTGCGTGGCCGCTTTTCGTGGGTGGCCACGGCGAGGCGGTCACCGATGCCATTGCCGAGCTGCTCGGCCCTGTGGGCCAGCTCCTCCTCCCTGTCGGGCTCCTCCTCTCCTCGGATCACGGCCCTGGTGTGTTTGTGTTCGGCGGCTCGCCCGACACCGTGCTACACGTCGGGGGATCCCCCATCGGCATGGTGGTCATGTTGATCCTCATCCTCGCCCTTCTCTACTACCGGTCCGTGCTCTTCGGCGGTGGCAGAGACGACGACGAGTAAGCGCCTGCCAGTAGGTAGAGTCTCATCTCGGGGTGGCTGGCTGGTCTGCTTGATTGGTACTAGAGTCTAATGCCAGCAGTAAATAAAGAAGTGACAACTTTGCGTTTAACCTGTTCCAAGTGTTGCATTCCAATCTTGGTCCAACTGGCATCCATCTCTCCCAAAGACAAAAATAGTTGGAACTGAATTTGACTTGGTCTGTGTCTTTTGAACCGATAGTGAGACGCTAGCTGCAACTGCCTCGTACCGTGTACAGTGTACTACTTCAAAAAGATCATGGTGTTCTGCTGATAGTAGCTGAAAATGAAAACATAACTATGAATCTCCAAAAGGAAGAAAAAGAAAAAAATGGCAATTTGAAGAAATTTCACGGGTTGTTTAGCTGAACCATCCGTGTACTAACAAGTGACGATAAACTCATTCTAGGCATGAAAGTAGCTTGCTTACTACTTCGTGGTATCTTATGGTTCCTTTTTGTAAATAGAAATGCGCTTCTTTGTTCTATGTGTACCGGATCGGGGCTCACTTACTCTTGAATGACGTGGTAGGGGAGTTCCGCGGGTGTACTAATGTGATTTGGAAGTGAACTAGCTAGAAGCAATATGTGCGCTTTGCCGCGTTGACGTGAGCACTCTGTGCTATGATGTTTTGCAAAACAGCTTGCTTGTACTAACAAATTACAATTTAGATAATTTGGATATAGGCAGAACACCATGATTGTTGCTTTTAGGTAGATGACAAATTGTTGTTTACTATAATTTGTGATGAAATTTCACAATTACAATTTGCTCGTACAGAAAATGTAAAATTTTGTCACAAATGATAAATTGTTGCTTTTAGGTAAAAGATAGTTGGTTTAAACTTTCAAGAAAAGACTGAATCTCTGATTTCGTTAACAGAACTATTAATCAGTACAAAGTCACGCAGAATATTATTAAGAAAATTGCAAACAACTCATCGAAAATGGGTACCAACAGCAATGACATTGACACAAAAAAGAGGAGAAAACCCAAATAGTAAAACATAGTAACATATTTTCAATAACATAGTATAACCCAAATAGTAAATAACCTTTTCAAAAAATATTATGCTAAGCCATTCTGTTCAATACATAGTAACTATGTTGTCAGAAGCAAATGTGCGTCTTGCTGCATGCTTTTCCTTTTTCATTGTGTATGAAACTCTCATTTTTATATCCGTTTTAATAATTCAATAGTCCAATAATATAAAAAATAAATTCAGAATTTATACTAATAACTTTATTTTCTAATAAATAATGTCATTTTGCTATGACAAAACAAAATTTATTTCGCATCTAACAAACACGGAAGATAGCGAAACTTGGATCAATAAGTGTAACTAGGTACAAGAATACAAAAAAGTTTTTTTTTCGTTTTCGGGGGAAGGGACTTCCATTAACTTAACCTGGATCAAAACGATCCAATTCACAAAGGTTTACAACCCCATTTGGGCCAGACCCTATCTAGACTGTGGTCTTAACATCAACTCGACCGATCCTAACAAGTTCATGACCTATAGAATTTTTACACCTGATCGCATTAACTATCACCTTCCTTTCTCCTCTGACCAAGGCCTTTATATCCTGAACAAGGCAAGCATCACATGATATGTCTGTGGTGATTTGATTAATAATCCTCGCTGACATTAAACAATATGTTTCTAAGATAAATGGTTGCCAGCTCCATTACAGAGCAAGTGTGACATCCTCTCTGCATGATGCCAACTCAGCCACAGTGCATCATCGCATGGGAAGAGC